GGGGGGGGGGGGGCGAGCGGTTTGTTTGGATCCCAGGCGTTGTTACCATGGTAAATTTGTGCCGGAGCGCCAAACTCCAGCTGCGCTTGCCACTGAATAACATTTTTAGGAAAAGCTAAATTCATGCTTCAAAAGGACGCGACGATGACAGAAGACTGAGCACCACCTAAAAGTTCCAGTCCTCGTTTGGCAAAACTATCGTGCGCCAAAGCAGGCACGGGCGCTGCAGTGTACCGCATCCCTCGCCCACAAATTGTCGAAACTTGTGGTGGAAGCTGTTAGATTTGTCATTGGAGGAGGGACTTGCACCTATGATGCAAAACTTTGGTTGAGCAGACAACGAGGGGGTTTTATTGGATGAGTGAGGGGGTGGGAGGTGGATCATGTCAATGGCCAGTCCACAAAAAGTTGGAATCTGACAAGACCTGCGGAGTAAATCCAGTCCAAGTCAACTGAATGTCTCCCACCTTACGTGGTCCCTCGATTCATCTTACTTTTCCGGACATGTGTCGAGATTCCAAAAAGAGCAAGGAGGAAGAGACAGCAGAGGAGTGGGAAAAGAAAACAACAAAGGGTCATTCATTTAGTAACATGTCAAAACAGAGAGGAAGCCTCCGTTTCCTCCGAGAGAGTCAAATTCACGCCATCTGCATCGGCCTGAGACCAGCATTCCTACTTGACCCGCAATGAAGAAGTGTGAAGGGATTTCGGGTTGCAAAGTAGCCGGCAGTCCAACTTTGTGTGGAGGTGGCTCAAAAATCTCCAGTTTTATACCCTGAAGGATTGTGAAAAGGATATCGACATATTCCAAGCGTGATCTCATCAACTCAAAACCTGGAGTCCGTGGAGCTTGGTGCGATGGCCGCAAAAGAAACCGAGCTTTCGTGTTTCCTTTCATCCTGCAGATACGACTTCCTTGGATGCCGCGGTATGAAAATCACTTACAGAAGGCCTGCGAGCCGAACAAGGCGGCTCATTGACACGGCCAGCGTTTGGGAAAGGTGCTTCTCCTGAATGCGGCTCTTTCTACGCTGAGCTGAGCAGGATTGAACTAATGAATTCCAGGTCGTGGCACGCATCGGAAAGTAGAGCTGTGGCGTAAAATGCCGCCAAATGTGCTCTTCTTCCTCAAGACAGGGGCAAGCGAGATGAATTTCAGCCCCCCACACGCCAAAAAAAAAAATCCCCCGGGCGCAATTTTGCCTTGGCATTGCTCTCTCCGTCAGTATTTTATCCTTGCGCTCAGTGAACAATCCAAGAAAGGCTCGGCTTTAAGAAGCAGCGAGCTCATTGAGGTTTTCTTTTGTTGACGCAATTGCCTCGAAGAAAAGATTCTTTCCCATCTATGTTACGGTCTAAGCCTGGAGGCTCGTGCGCAATTAGCTGAAGTCGTTCATCTGGTGAACCGTCGCCTTTGCATCAAATATGGGGACGGATACCTTAAGTGTCTCGAGCAGCTTTGACTACTGCCTCTCTGTACACTCGTATTGTAAAATGACTGCTACACACCGAACCCTCACAGATTATCAGTTGAGGATTCGCAGATTTTTTGGGGGAGTGGGGCTGAAGCTATCGTCCCTAAGGCACTTTGTTTCAAATGCAGCTGTTTGTGAAATGTTTTTCCTTGATTTGTTGTTTTGGTGCTCAGGCCAAAGCGATGAAAGTATTGCTCTGCTGCCATCCTGTGGCACCTGTAGGCAATTATAAACCTTTTGGGGTGTTCATGACTCGTGGATTTTCTCAGGGCTTGTCTCAGGGCTTGGTCCCCATGACACATGAATACCATGTTGGCCTAACACTGCGTTCCTTCCTTCACATATGTCATGGGTCAAATGACCATTTTTTTTCAGAGGCAATACAGAACCTGGTTAAAAATACAACACAAATCGTGTTATTGTTCATCTCCGCTTGCAGCGGTGAGAAGCAAGGCACTGTGACAAAGCACACAATGTCAAACATTGCATGGATAGTTTGGCTTGAAAAGAGCGCCATCGCCCCGGTGTGACTTCGACCTGAAATCAGATTGCGTTCAACAAAAATAACACCTAATCCCTTGGCCGATGTTCAAGGTTGTCTGCACTTGGCATCCGGAATTTCCGACAGGATCAATTCGGGATCTACCTCCTTATCTGGGTTTATTAAAACAAAGTGCAATGAGCTTTTGTCTTCATCGACTTACTCCATTTGAAAACAAGTAAATGGACAAGGTGTGCAAGTACATCTTTTGAAGGAAATCTGAGGGTTTTGTTTAAAAAAATAAAAAATAAAAAAAAAAACAGGCCTCTTTTTGATAAGCCTACACACATCTAACACTACATACACACACAGAAAAAATGCTAAGTCTAAATTGTCATGAGTGGACATTAACGACGCCAAGGCGTTACATCATGTCAGTGTCACATCCATGAGCAATTCACTCAGGAGCAAATTTCAGACAAACATCTCCAAATTAACATAAAGCAGGACAAAAGTGAGACGGCGAGAAGCCGGAGAAGTCAGCGAACGTAGACGCTAAACGCAACAGAAGTCTGTAATCGCCAGCAATTATCTCAACTCCGGGTTTCATTTTATGTGTTGACTCAATAAACCGTCAATGGCGGTTCAACATGTGGTGCCGTTTAAAAGAGTTGCCTCGGATATTTATTTTAGGGAGGCAACAACGTCCATTTTCCCTTGCTGCTTGAGCTCGCTTCGGTGCAACAATGCATGATAGAGAGACTCACTGTGTGCCTCTGGCTCATTGCTGAGTCGGCTCAAGGCAGCCTTGGAAGCACAACCAGATGCCTCTTACTCAAATCTCCCAAGCATGGGCGTGACGACGGAGGCTTTTGCTTCCGTCCATGCTGACAGCGAATGAAACTGACTGTCCTGGTTTAGGTTTGCTGCGTTAATCACGGGAGGGTTCCCTGAAACTAAAAGAACAAATGCAGACATCACTTGTTTGTAGTTGGCACCAACGTTGGCAGGAACCAACGCTACAAACGTAACAATTCCGGATTTTTGTCGTAGCATATGATGAGTATTTCCTTGCGAATCCAGCTTTCCCGCTAGCTAACGGAATGATCAACCCCTCTCGAGCTGCAGGCCCAGCAAATTGGAGCATTACCATTTAGTTTTCAATCAATCGATTGGCTTCGAAGCCAAAGTACCCAAAGGACACGGTGGAGGAAAAGCCTGAACCCAAAACTTCTCGACCGTGACGCTAACCACTAAGAGACCGCGCTGCTTAAAGAAAGCAATATTGTAAATAATCACTTTCAAACCACAGTAACAAGCAGAGGTGGGGCAAGTCAGGAAGCGTGATCAAAGACATTTTTAAAGCCAATTCAGGCCTCGTTTTGAGATTGATGGATTCAATGCTTTTGAAGTCTTTCTGCAGGAAGCCAGTTTTAAATGTAACAAGCTGCGCTCTACAGCTACGCTAGCTGCTAAATCCAAATAGTGTGAGGTAGCACGGACCAACTGAAGTCCCTCGATGTCGTGTCTTGTCCCCGAGTTGAAAGGTGATTAATGTAATTGACAACTTTTCCCGTTTTTGCGGTCAAATTCTTTGTGTGGCGGTGGGTTGCGCGGCATGTTCCCACGTTTTTCTAGCCAACTGCATGTCTCGTCATAACAATGACATGAGAGCCAATCGCAAGCTGGGATGTCGTGGACCGGGTCGCCGTGCTTCTGGATTCTGTAACAAGCTCCCAGAATTTTTTTTCTTTTTTTCCAGGTCTAATTTAATATTTGAGTCATCGTCCTGCGTTCAAAACTAAAGCTGTGACACTGTTTTGAAAATGTACTGAGTAAAAAGTACAGATAGCGGTCGTTTGATGAATAAATGCTCAAAGTACAAAGTACCAGAAAAAAAACTACCAAAGTACAGTAATAAGGTACGTCATTATTTCCCCATTTCTGGCAACACGTCATATATGAATTTCCATTTTGGAGGTAACTGTTGCGCACGGACGTAATGAAAGATTTTCTCCCACGTGGTCGCCAATTTATAGAATGTGAACGTTGTTTTGTGTTTTTTCTCTTCTGTATTATCACCTCATCATGGCCAAGAGTGTTTATTCTGCTATGGTGAGAACGGCCCGCATGGCAGCATGCCCAGCAATCTGTTGATTCTTAAGTGCGTCGTCTCACGGGAAAGTCCTTCGACTCGTTCCAGTTTCCAAATCATCTGCAGTGTGTCCCCACAAGCTTCTGTGTCGGGAGCTGTCACGTGGCTTATGGAAAGCCCCCCCATCCCAATCCATAGATCTCGTAAAAGTTCGGGGGAAACCCAGGTTGCACAAACGGTTGTCTTTGGCATTGATCCAGCGAAATCTTGGCCGGGCAACAGGAAATAATTGACTTCCGCCACGGTTCCCTGCATTTGCTGAGGACCCTCAGAGCCCACATGAGAATTTGCATACCAGTGGAAACATATCAAGGATGTATGTCTTCAGAAGGGGTTTTGGCTGATTAACTCATTCACTCCCAAAGACGTTTTTAAACGTCTTTTCAGACTTGGTCCAGAATTGGCTGGTACCGAATGACCTTAAGACTCACATAGCTTCTTTCGAGTAGGATGCTACACAGTAAACAGTAGTCTCCTTTGACGTGGGTCCACTTTTGAAGCTTGGGATCAAACGTAACCTATTTTTTAATTTTTTTTCTTCACAGAATCCTACTTTGGGGACAGCTTCTGCAGTATCCAAACCGTCCAAGATGTCTCTCGCTTCCACGTGACATTACAGATGAAGACGAGTCGGAGAAGTGGCCTACTGCTCCTGGCCGCTGGAATGGAGGACTACCTGTTTATCGAGCTCCTAAATGGGAAAATACAGGTGGGCAGATGATTTGGAGCAGACGCAAACGTAACTGAACTTGAATTTTCCGGGGCAGTAAACAAAGCATGACCACTGTCACTGCGCCGACCGTCACTCAGCTCGCGCGGCCAATGCAGAATTCCATTGTCAGCGTCTTAAAGGGTTGTATCCGAAAGAGCATCCGGCATAAGAACTGACCCAAATAAATCATGGGACTTGGAAAATTCTGTCTCGTCTTAGAGAATGCCAAAAGGTCCAAATATTGACTCTGGCACTATCGAGGACCATAAGCATTTTACAATGGTAGTTTGGTAAAGTTGACCGACAGTCAGTCGATCACGCTCGCCACAGGTAAAAGGCTATACGAGAGAAAGCCTCGGGGAAATAATAATCACTGATGTTAATGATGATGCCAATTTTGTCGTATTTCCGCAGGCGCGGATGAACATGGGTGCGGGCGAGGTGATGTTGTCATCATCGCAAGGCCTCCAGCTCAACAACCTTCTGGACCACAAAGTTTCCCTCACGCTGCAGGAGGCCAAGCTCACCCTGACAATTGACGATCTCTTCTCCACATATGTCCCTGTTGGCGATGACGGGGAGGAACTGAACATTGACCAGGGCATTTGGTTGGGAGGAACCGGAGAACTTGATACTCCCTACCTGAGCAATGCCATTCCGCCTTTCCGTGGCTGCATGACCAACGTCAAATTCGAGTCCCATCAATTTGACATTCTCGGCACACTCTTCAAACAGTGCCACGACACCAAGGAATCCTGCAGCAGTGAGTTTGAAGCAGGTGACGGAGAGGCAACCAGTTTTAGCACTCCAGATTCTTTTGTCTCTTTTCCTACTTGGAGTGGAGCTAGCGGTACACCAAGAGTTTTGGAATTCCTCATGAAAACTACCATCGAGGATGCCCTTCTGGCCTTTCACCCCGGGAGAGAGACGGACTTTATCGCTATCGGTGTTGTGAAAGGCTACCTAAAAGGCGTGCTGGACTATGGCAAGGGCATGGAGGTGCTGGAGAACAATGAAGTGCAGCTGGATGATGATCAGTGGCATAGAATTAGGGTCCAGGTCAGTGAGGATTCATTTGACATCAATATCGACAGCCAGATCGTATCCCTTCCTCTTGATTCTACGCAAAAATTGGACTTGGTGGGAAATTTATATTTGGGAGGCATTCAGGCTAAAATGAAGGATGTCTTTCGGGCGAGTGACTCATTAAATCGCGCAGAAGAAGAGATGACTGCCGAGTCCTTCATCGGATGCTTGGGAGAGATCAAAGTCAATCAGAAGGATCGGAGCTTACAGGATGCGCTGGTGACCAAAGATGTTCACGTCAAATGCGAAGGAGAGGACTACGACTATTCCAGTTATTACGACGCCGACACGACAACAACATCCCCGCCGCCCCGTACTCAGTATGTTGATATTGAAATGACAGAACCGCATTGCTACCCGACAGAGGACACGCCGGCTATCTTCAAAAATGTGACCAAGCTCCTTGATGTAATACCAATGCTTGTGCCAGAAGGTGGGGAGGTTTTTCTCGACATTGAAAACCTGCGCCCGACCTTTGACCTTGGTGCTGCCGGCATGCGTCAGTCCCAGATCATCTTTTCTCTTAAGACCGACCCTTGGTACGGTCTGCTTGACATGAACATCAACACAAAACGCACGCAAAAATTCACTCTTCTGGACGTCGTCAACAAGAAAATTAAGTATATGCATGATGGACACGAAAGACACGCGGATCGGATTCACCTGGAGGTGGTTGCGAGCAGTAATGGCTACCTCCCAGAATGTCTTAAAACACCCCAAAGTTATGTGCTACCAGTCGAAATCATTCCTGTCCGTGACATTCCACAAGTGAGTGGTGGAGAAATCCCCATTATAGAAAATGGCAGGACTCGCTTGAGCCCCGGTCTTCTCAAAATCGCAGATTCCGACACACGCTGTGACAACTTGGTGCTAACTGTGACATCTGAGGTTTCCCCTGAAAGGGGTTATCTCGAGAAAAGTCAGGAACCAGAGCAAAGAATTACAGCGTTTACTTGCAGGGACCTAAAGGAAGGGAATATCTATTACGTGCACAAAGGGGGCGACGGGAACACCATTACCGTCAAAGTATCAGACGGTCAATCTGTCAGCCACTCTGCAACTTTCAAGTTGGCTTTGACAGAGCCACATATGACCGTCGTTACCAACACTGGACTGCTCTTGGCTCAAGGCAGCAACGCTTCTATCGGCATTCACAATTTGGCAGTCGTCACGCATCCTCGCAACGGAGATGTCGTTTATAACGTCACGCAACCGCTCATATACGGCGAACTGAAGATCATGACGAGCGATGGGATGTTAAAGGCAATCACAGAGTTCCATCAGTCCGATCTGGATCAAAATTACCTCAGGTACTTCAGCACAGATTCCAGTGACCAAGATGACGTTGTTGTTGAACAGATTCAGTTTGACACGCACCTGGGAACGTTCTCCCTCAGGAATAACACATTTTTAGTTAAAATCATGCCTTCTCCGGTAAAACTCTCTGCCCTGGTGCCAATGGAGATGCAGGCTAGTGAAGAGCTGATCATTGGATCCGGTGAACTTCAAGCTGAAGTGAAAGGGAGAAAACCAGACCCGGAAAGTGTTCAGTACATTCTTGTCAAGCCTCCAAGCCTGGGTATTCTGCAGATACTGGACACAGAGTTGAATGAAGGCGATACCTTCACCCAGAGAGACATAATGGACAATTATATCAGCTACAGAGTTCTAGGGCGAAGAGCTGTCGACACGACGGATCAATTCCAGTTTAAAGTCTTTGCCGACGATCAGTACTCTCCTTTATACACATTTCCGATCACCGTCCTTGCCGATTCCGATGCCCCCGTTCTGACCAATGAGTTGCTATCCGTCCTACAAGGCAGTGAGCAGGTTTTAAACAAAAATCACCTGTGGGTGGAATCAACCGGCTCCTCAGATTTTATGTACCAGGTCAATCAAGAACCAAAGCATGGGCGACTCATCAGGGACTCCCCTCCAGGTCAGCCTCGATTCGAGGGAGCCATTCGAGTGTTCAGTAACGAAGACCTCCAACTTGACAGACTCATATACCAGCACGATGGTTCCGCGACGGATAAGGATGAGTTCCACTTCACGGTATTCGATCAGGGAGCAGACAGGTTTGGCATTCAGGAAACGATCCGTGACGTTTTCAGGATATCCATCCAAAGCAAGAACGAGCACGCTCCGCTGCAAGTTGTGGATAAAGTTTTCCACGTTGTCCGGCACGGACAGCGCCTGCTAACAACTGATGATATCCAGTTCAAAGATGATGACTTGGGTTTCAACGATTCCCAGATCGTCTACGCTCGTGAGGGTATCCTTTCTGGCAATATTGTCGCCGCCCACAATCCCTCACAATCCCTTTTCCGTTTCACCCAAGCCGACCTGCGAGATAAAAGGGTTCTCTTTATTCACCAAGGAGCGGATCAAGAGCGCTTCCCGCTGAAAGTGTCTGACGGATTTCACAAGACAACTGCTTTGCTGCAGATTCAAGCCGGCGAACCCTACCTGAGAGTGGCGAACAATACCATGATTGTCATTGATCACGGAAGCACCAAGACCCTGGACACGACATTGCTGAGCGCCGAGTCCAACATGGACATCAGGGATGAGAGCGAGATTAGGTTTCGGGTGACGTCACCACCCAGTGAAGGCAGAATTATTGTCAGTGGGATTGAGGCGCAAGAATTCACCCAGGAGGACCTGAAAAAGGGCGTGGTTTCCTATGAGCATAATTACGAGAGCCTGAGGTCCAAGGATGCCTTCAGTTTCACAGTCCAAGCGAGAGACAACTCCGAGGACGGCACATTCAGGATTAAAATATTCAAACAAGGGTACCTCTCAGAGCCTCAAGTGATTACCAATGCGGTCGTCATTTCCTACGAGGGCGAGCACACGGTCATCAACTCCGATTTTGTCAAGGTAAATCTGATCATCCCATGTCTGGTTGAGGAAAAAAATATGCTTCGGTAGACCCATTTCAATTTGTTTTCAGCGCCTGTATTAAGTCAGGCAACAGTGTGACGGAATTATTTTGATTTTCGAGGATGGACAAGTTTGCGTGATGTGATTCGGGCAAGTTTTTATCCCACGGCTCACTGCAGCAATGCCTCGTCTCTAATCTACATCGCAGCCACATGAAAGCGGCGCTAAATGCGACGCCGCACAACCACCGCTTTTAATCTAGTTTATATACTAAATTGCAGTCCATTAAGTGTGGAAAACAGAGCATTGCGTATCCCGTGGGGAGCTTCCTGAAGCCCACTGTAATTTGTAAGAAGGCCCGAGCTTGCAGCTCATCTGGAAAGCAGCTAATGGGATTCAAATCGTCCATCACGTCTAAACACATTCCCATTTCACAGTGTCTAACTTGACTTTTAGACTAATGAAGAGCAAGTTTGATCGCAACATACTTAAACCCCCAGGTATAAATTATATATCCACTGTACAGGGCGGGGATGAACTAAATCTAAAAGAAAAAAAAAAAACGGCAGGCATAATTCTCCAATAGATGCAGTCTCTCTGCCTTGATAGCATGGTCTTTCCAGAGGTAAAATATTGACTCGCCTTATGGAAGTGCATCTAATATGTTTCCTACAACAGTATGAAATGCAAAGTAGTGTGATGTGAAATATTGTGAAAGGGAGCCATGACTCCTAAACAGGCTGGAGGCTCCGGGGAGCTGATTAAAAACGTCTCCAAGTCGGATGACCATAAATCTGTCTCGCGTGTAAACGCGTGACATGACACGGCCTACGCCCGTGTCCCAATTTCTCACACAAGTGTTAATGAAGTTGAAAGTGCCCCCCACTTTCTGAATTTCTGACCGAAAACACCACCCTCTACCAATTGGAATGCGACGGCAAAGTAAACCGTTATTTTTTTTAATCAATCTGACTCACTGTCATGGACCAGGAACAGCGTTTTTCATGAATTGCGTGTCCCTGTAGTCGGTTCAACGAATTTGCCATTTGCTTAGGTGGAGCAAGCTGACATTCTGCCGACGGAAATGGTGTTCACCATCAAAGAGCCGCCCCGCCTCGGCCATGTGGTCAAGCTGACAAACAGCACGGACGGCACAGACTCGCCGCTCCTCGACTATATTCACTCGTTCACGCAGGAGGACATTGATCACGGGCGCATCCTCTACGTGTCTGCGTCCATCCTGGTGTGTTCTCTAATCACTGTCATCTGATGTTTTTTTTTTTTTGTTTTGTTTTGTTAACATAAAACTTACCTGAGGTTTCCCGTCTTGACAGGGTACTGACGCGTTTACCGTGGAGGTCAGCAACGGTTTTACCACAGTGGAGGACCTGCGCATCGCCGTGAATATCGTGCCTCGAATCATCCCCATCCGGGCCCTCAATTTTACCGTGAAGGAAGGCTTCAGCAGGGTCATCAACGATGACGTCATCAACATCTCGCATCCCTTCTACAACTCCTTCAACATCGAATTTGTCGTGGGAGACCCGCCCAAGCACGGCGAGATCCGTTTCCAGGATGGAGATGAGCTGACTTATTTCACTTGGGAAGAGGTACGCCATGAAAGTTACACCATTGACATTTAAGTCAGCGTGACTAGAGTGGCACCTCTACTTACGAACGTTTCTTCATACGAAATGTTCAAGTTACGAAACGCCTCAACAGGAAAATATTGTCTCTTGGAGGATTGTTAAAAGCCGACAAAAGCAAACATCCTTGGATCAGTTCTTTACAAAACGCCAGGCAAAAAAACACTTCTGAGAGAGAACATGAACTAAAGAAGGCAAAAAAAAAAAAAACGACAAGGACACAGTTAAAAGTTAAATGACCTTCATTTTTAGTCTTTATTCTTTGTTTTTTTTACATAATGCACAACTCTCATTTATTGTGCCAAAATCTAATTGTAACATGTACTTGTTACATATTTTGGTGCATTTTTATCTGAATTTTGGGGGCCTTGGAACGGATTAGGGCATTTACATGAAAAACCCGTCTATTTACAACATTTTCTAGTTCAGAAATTTCTTCCAGAACATATTCATTTCGTAAGTAGAGGCACCACTGTATTTGCGACAGAGGGGCGTTTTGGATTGAAAGGATCTTCCACCCAACATCCTGTCACTGTGATCGACGCCGAATTGTCCGTACCTTGTCGCAAATACAAGGTTTCTGCAAAAATAGGGGCATTTATTTGGTCAAATATAGATGCAGGGCAGCTTACTTACATATCAAGTGAAGACGGTGTTTAAAAATAAAATAAAAGGGCAGTGAAATTTGTCAGAACATCTCATTCCCGCTGTTAAGTACCCGAGAGTGTTTGTAGATGACGAGTCACCGTCATGGAACTTTCCCCGGTTACACAAGTGGTCGTTGTGTTCTCTCCCGCCACTTTTTGGAAAAAATTAAACACACACGAGCAGTTACCAAAAGGGGGAAGAAAAAAAAAAATTTTTTCCCACATCGCTGAGCTCGTCAGACAGATATCCTCGACACTCCCACTTCCAGCTCTGGCCCGCAACTTTCTTGTCGCGCTCTCTCTCTTCTGGAAAAACTGACGCTGGCTTTTGAGCGCCCGCGGCCAAAAGAAACTAGCGGCGGACGTTTCTAGAATAGAGCTCACGCAAACCGCCCGCGCCTCGTTGCTGCCGGACCCGCCCGTACGTCTCTCAGAAATCGCAAAATGAAAAACCGAGGCCGGCATGGGCATCGCTACGATCTCCCGCCGGTGAAAGACAAAGCTGAATGCGCTGCCTCCCGGAAATGTTTGATATGTGTGCACGTCTTACTTTTACTACCACGCTCCCAAATCGACACCACATGGCGCCACTGGAGCCAACTGTAATTTTTTTGACTATTTTCCACAAGTTGAACAGTTCCAAGCCCCTCACTGGGATACTGGCAGAGGGACGCATGTGTGTGTATGCGTGTAATCGTGTTCATACCCGGGGTTCGCAGAGGTTATACGAGTCAACAGGATTACGGAATGACTCGTACCGATGATCCTCCACAAGGAGGCGAAATAAATCAGACGAGGCAGCTCCCAGCACGCAAGCCGTATCTGCTAATATCGTTTCTCTCCTCCAGCACGCCTTCACTTGAATCAATGATTCCGATTGGGTGTTGAATGAAATATGAGGACAGAAGTATTGAGACACCTCAGATATCTTCCCTGGGAAGACCGCCGAAAAGATGTTTTTGTTTGGTCCCATTTGTGGTGATAAAAGTCACTGATGTGAGAGGGAAAGGGAGCTCATCGCGGAGGCGTTTGATGGCCAAGTGCAGGGGCGGCGTGGCCATCGGGGGATTTCGGGAAAATACTTTCATTTTCCCAAACGGCCCGTGGATTTCCGGGCCGGTCGTGGGCAACAATCCTTGGAGGAATGCTATGACTGCTAACATGAAAGATTTGAAAGTCATGATCGGATAGGGAATCGGCACCAACCCTTGTTGTGAATCACCCAAAATAAATAAAAAATTGGGAATTGTCACTTCCTCGAACTGTTTAGATTTGCCGCTACAGTAGTACCTCTACTTACAAAATGAATATGTTCTGGAAGAAAATTTCCCAGTAGAAAATGTAAGTAGAGACGCGTTTTCCATGTAAATGCCCTAATCCGTTCCAAGCCCCCCCCAAAATTCAAGTATGTTGCGTTCAAGAAACTCAGAGCTGCGAGGAACAGCCCATCCTGTATTTTGACCTTTTGTATCTTGAAATTTCTTTCGTAACGAGAGGCGATATTTTCTTGTTGAGGCGTTTTGTAACTTGAAAATTTCATCTGAAGAGCTGTTCGTCAGTAGAGCTACCACTGTCGTTGAAACTAAAAGGCCAAGAGCTGAATTTATGAATGTTGAACTGTATTATGACGAACTAGACGAGATCATGTTTATAAATGTAATGCTAGTGAATGGCAGAAAAAAATTCCTACTCAAGTCAAATCAAAATAAAAGAAATGATCGCGTCCTGTAAACACAGTCGAACAAGCACGCCGACTCGTCTTTGGTGAGCGTGCTCCGTCGCTAATGACCTCGCTTGTTATTCCAGAAGCAACACGTCATATGGGATCCATTTGGCACTTCCCGTTCCCTAAAGCGTTTCCTCTCGTCGGCGAGACCCTCGCCGGCTTTTCTCGAGATAAATGTACGACTGTCGTCTTTTTGCGAGCGGGCTGCCAGATCACTGTCTGAAGTGTCAAACTGGCTCCAGTCGAACAGGACTTCAAGGCCTTAGCGACGAGAAGCGCGCAAGAAATGCGGCGGTTTGCTGCTTTTTGTACTCGTGTGGGCGGCAGAGGGAGACCCTGCCGCGGGGGGGCGTATTCCGTGGCAGCTCGCGTAACAGCTGATGACTGATTCCTTGGCGTTTAGGTCTCATCCCACAGAGACGATCTTACCTGTCCCTTTTGCAGCCAGACGTTACCGGCCGATTATTAATATCACGGCAAATAATAGCTCTGACTGGGAAACGACCATTGGCGTCCTTTTTCGGACCCTTCAGGTATGATTCGAACAGACGTGAGGCCGTCGATCTTTGACGGCTTGGACGATGCAGTTTTTGGAGGCCCATCCGATGGTTTTTGTGTCCTCGACTGCAGTTCAGCGCCAGTTTAAGAACCTTTATGGCCATCACACTGCTTGTGTCATCCACCACCTTGAATGAAATAACAAATCAAACTGGCGCTGAACTGCAAGTCAGTGACAGAAAAACTTCTTGCCGGTCGGCAATTTCGCAAAGTCAATTTTCGAGCCGTGGGCAAGGGACTGATATGCTTGCAACAACTGCAAAGCTGAAGGTATGAAATACTCATGGCCTCATGTTGCTCCGAACGATACCCGAAACAAAATAGAAAAAGGAAGTGGATATTCATTTTTGGGACATCAACAAGGTGTGACCAGGCAAACCTCCGGGAGGCCGGAGCCCTTTTCCAAATCGCAAAATTCAGATCTGTGAGGTAAACGTGTTCACCACCGTGCTACCCGCAGCTGAAAAACATGAGTTTGGAATTGACTCGGGAATGGAAACGACATAGTGCGGCACGTAGCTGTCAGCGTTTTGTTTTGCAAACCCTGCGAAATGTGACAATGCCTCTCGGCGCGATCCCTTCTGTCCGCCCCAGATAAGACTCGGACACATCTACTACGTGCACGACAGCAGCGAGAGCACCGAGGACGACTTCACCATCTCCGCCTCGGCTTATGAGATCGACCGCCGCAGCCTCCCCGTCACCGTCGCCGTGACTGTCAGGCCTGTCAACGACGAGCCGCCCAAACTGACGCACAACACCGGGCTGGAGGTAATGTTGCGCAACGTTCCCCTCACTGTTGCGTAGAGCTTTTGATCTTCCTCGGCGTCGTAGCTGGTGAAATGCTGGCGACGTAAAATCTTTGCGGGTTGAACTTTTCGCTTGTTTTCCCGTCTCTGATGAGGATTGAAGGTTGGCGGAAAGAGGAAAAACAACAAAACTGGAAGACAGGATCCGCTTTTCGTTCTTGAGTACCAGCAAGACACCAGTACTACTAAAAGTAGCACTAGTACTTGTCGTAGTAGGACTTAAGATCTTGATGAATAGAATAAAATCAATTCAATTTAATTGTAGATGAGCCTGAGGCTCAGAGCTCAGCGTCTTCATCTTCAAATGCACCTTCCAATTGAAATTAAGTGGATACAAAAAGTGTACACACCCTTGCTCAAATGTCAGGTTTTGGACCGCAACCAAATCTGCCATACGTGTGCAAAAATGTGTCATGGTTCAACGAAACTAATGTTGAATGCTTTGACCAAAACTCTAAAAGGTAAACACAACAGGGTCAAAAAGAACACCATCACGACAGTAAAACACGGCGGCCGTCGCATCATGCTATGGGACTGTTTTTTTCTTTCGCTGGATCTGGGAATTTAGATGAGGTGGAGTGAATTATGAACACTTACAAATACCAGTCAAAAACTTTCAGGCTTCTCGTACAAAGCAAAACAACGACCGCAAAAGTTTATTAGAACAGCTGAAATTGATTTGGGGTTAATCAGAGGCACTTTTTATGTGATTCTTGCTGCCTAACCATGGCATCTATTGTGTTTAAAAAAAATATTCCCTTCACAAATCGATCATCAAATTAAGACAACCCAAGTCCGTCCGTTTTGACTTTGGTCTAAGTTTGGAAGAGTCCCTCCATAGTTTGGAGTGTTGGGAAAAGTCAGGCGTAATCAGCTCCCACAACTGGAAAGCAAGCGTGTCATTCAGCCTTTTCCGGCCCTCCTCCTGCGGCTGCACGTTTCCCCGGCAACCCATATTTTAAGAAAAACCGACAAAGCGTCCGCCATTTGATGAAGAGGCCTGGCGGTGGCACGGGGTTGCACTGTGGCGGCGCGCCGCGTGTAATACGATCGCACGGCGAGTGGCGCTCTGGTTGATTTAAAGCAGGAAGTGCGTGCGCGGTGACCTCCGAGGCCCGTGATCAGGCGATGATGAGTAACATGGGGCTCAGCTCAGGCGCTGCCCTAACTCAGCGTTGATCCCTTTTGGCAGAGTCTGCTGGACTCCATTAGCATTTGCACCAGGGGTGGGCAACCTACAGCAAGTGGGCCATACACAAGTCGCGAGATTGCTTGATGCAGACCGCCATACAATTCTGAAAGCAAATAAAACCTCAACTGAACTGTATTTCAATTTATGGTGAAAACTACTATTGATCTACGATCGTTGAGTAATTTTCCCCACATGACTAATATAAGAACTAGAATGACCCGATCCTTTTTACAGTGCATTCTGAGTTACAACTCTTAAGGTAAATTTTAAAAAGCAAGAAAAATATATTTTAAAAACTGTGTATTTTTAAACTATGCTTTAAATTAGAATGATTAATTTATTGATTTGTTCAACATTTATATTCAGGTTTTTATTCCTGGTCACGTGACACGTTTGCGACTTTGCCCGAGGTAGAACTCAGAGACCACAAGAAGCCAATTCACAAAAGAAATTGTCAATCCCACACCACAAACAGATAAGTGTGGTTATTTGAAGGACTCCGTCTTCTAAAGGAGAGCAACATTGTCCTTTTAAAGATTTAAAAAAAAAAACACTCCCAACTCACCACTTAGTCGTTTCCATCATGGCTCCAGCCGCTGTGTGAAGTTTTTGTCACTTGGTCAGGTTATCCTTCATTGACTTGGTCCACTTTTCACAAAGTGCGGGCAGCCCAAAGTCCAGATTCAGGATAAGATGTTTTCAAAAACGATGCAGCCTCACAGACAAACAGGAAGCACTCGAGCAATTTTCAAGTTGTTTCCCAGCACTTAAACGTGTTTGCTGCATTAAAATGGGTGAAATGGCATCCATTTGGTGTCAGCTTTATTGGTTTTATGTCGCACATTCATTTACCTTGAAAAAGTATCGATCCAGTCATTTGTAAAAGCACCTGGTCGTGCTGTCTCATTAACCACAATGTGTGCGTCACTTACGGGGCGCTCCGATGTCGCCATCTACCGTCACATTCCGAAACTGCGTGTTGACGTCACGAGGCGGCGACTGTCTTCGAGCGACTTTTTTTTTTTCGAGCGACTGTGCGCGCATGCGTGCGCGCGAGTGACCTAATTTCATTTTTTTTAAAAAGCAAACTACCAAATATTCCTGTTTGTATCGTTTGTATTTGATTGATCCCTTATTTTTCGAATATCACTACGTAATAATAATGTTTTTACAACACAATTGGATTAATTAAAAAATAAAAATATATATATATAAATGAAAGAATATTCTGAATTTTTCCCATTTACATTTAGCACTAGTAATACCAATAAATTTATGCATACACAAAATATTTTTTTTCAAATGTACCTAAAATGTAAAAAAAAATAAGAGCATTAAAAAAATTGAAATGAAAAATAGGTAAGAATATATATATATATATATATATATATATATATATATATATACATATATATATGAAGAGACACACTATGATTGACTGGTCAACCCGCCTCTTGTCTGAAATGAGCTTGTATAGGCTTCAGTTACTTGCAAACAAGGGCAAGGGCACTGTGGGAAAGGACGCATGGCTATTGGAAGACTTGATCCGCGTCTTCTCCCTGGGCTCCCGCCAGGTGCTCGCCGGCGAGGAGGCCGACATCACGTCCAGCATGCTGAAAAGTGAAGATGCCGATACCCCCGCCGAGGATGTCTTTTACAACGTGGAGTCTCCCACCAGCGGGATGGTGGCCTTCAAAGACTTCCCCGAGGAGGCCGCCGTCAACTTCACCCAGGCCCAAATTGACAACGGGGAGGTCATCTTCATTCACGAGGGTGACGACTCGCACACGCCCGAGCGGCATCGGCCGTATGTGCTTCTGTATTTTTCCAAACTCAACTCTTGCACGTCTCCAGGTGAGGAGTCTGGCGGTTTTAACTTCACGGTGACAGACGGCGAACACACGTCTCCGCTCTACAGATTTGTGGTCACGGCCAGGCCCCTCACCATCACCATGGAAACGCAAGAGGAGCTCATGGTGTTTCCAGGTGAGAGGTCCACATCTTGCTCAGCAGAGAGCAGGCGAGGACCGCTGAAATGGCTTTCGGTTGAAAGAGAATCAAGAAACTTTGCAGCGTGTCATTTTGATTGAGTCTTTGCGTTACTTTTTACGCTACAGTTAAATCTATTTGTAGTCTTACAGTCCGTGTTCTTGATGGGAAAACACCAACCGTTACAGTTTACTGATCACTAAAGCCATTTTATTTTCCAACACGTGCGATTTCAACAAAGCAAACCGCCAAAGCAGTTTTCATTTGACTTTAGTACTTCATTTTCCAACATCTCTGTGAACCTGAGTGGATTCTACTGATGAGGAGCATAAAAAAAGTGATTTAATATTGTCAACCCTTGAGTATTTCATAACTGAATGAGCACATCACATGTGAAATTATATAAAACATACCCTAAACGGACTCTGGAGTCTGCTTAACTACACTGCCTGCAAGTTCATTTTACACCGATTAACTCGTGTGTGTGTGTGTGTGTGTGTGTGTGTGTGTGTGTGTGTGTGTGTGTGTGTGTGTGTGTGTGTGTGTGTGTGTGTGTGTGTGTGTGTGCGTGCGCGCGTGGATGCCCGCAGGAACCAGGCAGCCTATCACGGCTGCCAATCTGGGTGCCGTGACTAACGAGGACGGAAACGAGATCAGCTACTCGCTGCTCCACCCTCCCCGTTTGGGGAGACTCATTCTGGCCAACGACAAGAACCAAATGGAGGAAATCAGCCGATTCTCCCAAACTCAGGTGACCACTTTGTACGAGCTTTGGTCAAAATACCCCGAGGGTCAAGAATGATAGCACATTTATTCTTGTTTGCGAGAGCAAAGCCAAGTGTCAAGGAGGCAGCGCCTCCTACACTACACTGTGTGTATGTGGCACATGAACACATCACCAAACACAGATAGTCTCCACCATCATGTCGGCAAATCATTTTTTAGGACCTGTGAGAGAAGTGAAATTTTGGCAAAAAAAATACTTGCTCCAAAAATCTAAATCTCGGCTTTCACTCTCACTATGAGGTCAACATTGAACTGACGGTGGCCCGGTGTTGATGTATTTGCGTGAGGATCAGTCGTTTGGGAAAGTTTTGCAAAATATCAAGCAGGCGACAGTCCGAAACTCCAACACAGCCCCATTTTGGCACCCTTTCGTTGGATACCGCTTACATTGGGAGAATAGCTCACGGCTGGAGCCTGATACTCCTCCATCAACTGGTGGACAGAGAATGGTCTCCCGCAGATAGAAATGAGAAGTAAAAAAGAGGAGTGAAGTGGTGTGAAGTGGCCATTTTTGGGTCATTTTGGCCATTTTCGGGGGTCTTTTGAAGACACAGCCTACTCTGGCTGTCTAAACACAAGCTCAGGACCGCCCAATTGAACGGATGTCATTCGCTGGTCAAGAAAAGCCCATTTTTGTCCCATGTGAGGCAAAGACAAGTCATCCTTGCAGTTTTAAAACATTGCACGATTTTTACTGCAATTTTCGTTACGAATGGGCTCGCTGGGTGATTATGAGCTCCACCCCTTAGCTCTATTCCCCCCCCAAAAAAAGGACGGAGACAGACAAAAGGCATTCACATATTCATCAACACCAAATAAGCAAAACGTTTCTGCCGACAAACTGCTGAGAAGTAACGTCACAATTTGATTATTTGAGTTTTTCAGTGTGTTTGTGTGTGTACTCGTTTTATTTGACTTGAAAGTGTGTTTGAATAAGAGGGTGAGTTGAGTGCAGGACATGGCGACCTCAGAAAATAAACACGAGCCGCCACATTCCGAGGCACGGTCCCAAGATGCGGGGTGCCAATTTCACTGTAGTTCTTTTCGATATCGAAGAGGAAGAAGACATTGATCCAAAAACGTCGGCTGTGCTCTCCAGAATAACAAAAATTTTGAGCTCTGCTTGCAGATATGCCTTTGAGAACATTTTTAAGGGCATGAAATGTTTTTAAAATAAATAAATACAAGTTACTGTCCAACTGTTCATCCTAAAATCGTGTCTCTCCTTGTCCTCAGCTGGAGTCTGGAGCGGTCTTCTATGAGCACCAGATGCCCGAAAAGCCCTTCTGGGTGGTGCGGGACTCCGTGGAGCTCATTCTGTCCTCCCAGCCTGCCCCGGATGTCCGTCACGTGCTGCCCATCACCATCTCTTACTATGCGACGCATAGCAACATTTCCTCACAGATGTGGAGGAACAAAGGTGACTGACTAGTTTTTCTGTTGTCATGCACAGTCAAAGCCGAAGACTTTGCCACTCCTCCACATGTGTTGGTCCCTTCTTTTGTCACCTGTGATTTTGCGGGAAATCCCTTTCTTCAGGTTTTCTTAGAAGTGGCTTTGGCATGGGGCAGCCCGTTTTCACCTCCAGACCAGTTAAAATGGATCTTTGACATCTGTAGACGTCAAAGGCAATGAATGACAATTGACCAGTGAATCGGAAACACTGCGCCATGGCACATTAGTGTGCCATGAGAGACCATCGGGGTACCGTGGGAAATTAGGGACAAATGTCCCGCAATTGGCTGGCGAACAGTTCAGGGTGGAGCGTGCTTCTCACCCACAGTCAGTTGGGATAGTCTCGAACTCACCCGCAATCCTAATGAGAACAAGCGCTGTAAAATCTGGAGGGATGGTTGAGTCCCCTGGCAACTAGTCCAGGGCGTAGTCTGGTTTTGGTTTTGTTCTAAGTCCCTCACGATGAGCCTGAACAGAACAAGCAGTACAGAAAATGTCTGGATTGACAGGTTAAAAGATGTCTCTGTGTGTCACAAAAACAAGTCTCTAGTGAAGGTTGTTTCACTCGGACTGTCCGCCAAATATTGCAGACGAAAGAACGACTTAATCATTGTTGAATCTTGTACGCCCTTTGTAATGTGCTCATTGTTTCCCCCGCAGGTCTGGAAGTCGTGCAAGGCCAGAGGAAAACGTTCGATGACTCCATCTTTGACGCTTCCAACCTCCAGGCCAGCCTTCCTGAGCCGGAGAACGCAGATGTGGTATTTGAGATCAAACGTTTCCCTGACCATGGACGTATCACCCTTGGGGGTCAGGACCTTCCTCGGGATTCGCCTTACTTCACGCAGGGGGATGTGACCCGAAGAGAGCTGGAATACCTCCATGATGATTCAGCGGCTTCCTTTGACAGCTTTTCCTTCAGGGCCCGTCTGAGGTCTCGGGTTGATGGCGTGACGTCCGACTCTGTCGTCCTGGAGGAGATCTTTAACATCTCCATCAAACGACGGGGATCTGAACCCCCGGAACTCGTCACCATTGACCAGCTACTTGAGGTTCTACAAGGATCAATGATCCTTGTGACCCAGAAGCATCTGAACACCCATGATGAAGACAGCCCGCCAGATGAGGTCCATTTCAAGGTCACCAAAGCCCCCAAAAACGGGCACCTGATTGACGCCCACACCATGGACACTCTCTCTGAGTTCACCCAAGAGATGATCAACAACGAGCAGGTGGGCTTTCACAGCGACGGCAGCCTTGCAGACGGCTTTGTGGAATTCATCGTGTCGGATGGGGAACATCAGACGGAGCCGCAAACGCTTCACATCGGAATCCTCGCTCGCACCCTCATTCTGGACAAAGCCCCGGAGATCAAAGTGAAGCAGGGAGATGATGAAACTCTGGTGACCGAGGAAATGCTGAAAGCAACCACCGGTGGCCCTGTGGAGGAAGACGTCATCTACAAGATCACAAATGTTCCAAAGTACGCGGCGGTCATGGTAGACCGGCAGCCCACTTCAGCTTTCACCCAGAAACAGATCAAGGAAGGAAGAGTCAGCGTGCGCTTTGTGAAGTCCACCTCGCCCCGCGACAGCGTCGCATTTGTTGCTCGAAGTCGGGCAGCAAATGTGTCGTCTGTCCTCAACATCACGGTCCAGCCCTTGGCCAAAATTGCTCAAGACCCTCTACTGCCTGAAGACTCAGTTGTTCAACTTGACAGGAAGCTTTTGGATGCAACACCCCTGGAGAACAAAACCAGGTCCTCGCCGACGTTCACGGTCATCCAGCAGCCACGGGGCGGTCCGTTCGTCAGGTCTGGCGGTCCTGGTGCAGGACAGCCTTTGGACTCGTTCAGCCAGCGGGACCTGGATGAAGGGCACGTTGCTCTAGAAATCCCCAAAAGCTCCTCCGGGTCCCAAGATGGGGTCACTCGGGATGAGGCTCGCTTCTTACTCAAGGCTCACGGGGTCCCCCCAGCAGAGTGTGTGCTTTCCTTTCAAACTGGCCCTTACAATGCCTCTGGTGTCTACCCCGCCACTCTACTGAGGGTCCCCTCAGAGGTCCCAACAAAGGACCGGAAAGACAAGCCCACTGTGAGTGTGTACCCCCTTGCAACCACCGAAAGCCCTCGTTGGAAAGCCAACCAGGACCAACCCCACGGGGACGCTCACACCACCGCAACCCCATCTGACAGCGGCTCTCACAGGAACCCCGTGGTTTCTCGACGCGGCAACATCTGGTCTATTCTCATCCCCATCCTCGTCATCCTCATCCTCCTGCTCCTGGCAGCCCTCTTGGCATACTACCTGGTCCGTAAAAACAAAACAGGCAAGCACAACGTCCAGACGGCGGCGGCGGCCAAGCGGAAAAACGGCGAGGTGGCCGGCACGGAAACTTTTCGGAAAACCGACCCGGCAAATAACATCCCCATGTCTAACGTGGATTCCAAAGAGGCTGACCCAGAGCTGGTGCAGGACTGTCGGACAACGACTCCGGTCTTGAAAAAGAACCAGTACTGGGTTTGAGACTTTGACACCCTGGCCCCCCACCACCAGAGGTGGATCCTCAAGTGTTTGGAGCCTCCTCCGAGTCTTCTCAGTATTAAAGACTTCTTGCCACAGCAGTTTGATGGATTTTTGTTCTTTGACGCAAACGGTCGCATACTTCTCTCAACTCAACTGTGGACTGATTCTCAGGCAACATAACACTGAATAGTTGTTTGGTAAGGCAAGAGGCAGTTTCTTATCTTCAAATGCCATGTATATTTATTTTAGCATTCCTCTCTGTCAAAGGGCACAAATGACATAAACATGATCGGTGTTTGCAAAAAAGAAAAAGTATGCTATGCTCGACCATCTTCTAACAGAGGCCCGCATTTCTTGTTCACATTTTGCATCGTCGATCAGCTTCCAGCTCATGAGCGTAGCTGTTAAGTGTACATCAGGTCAATGATGACGTCAACACACTTAGGCCCAGATGCAGCGTATCTGGACAGTGACAGTTTGGATTATTTTTGACTTTAGAAACCATCACAATGAGTTTTAAGTAAAACAATTAGACTGCCTCCATTTTCGAGAGCTTCTAGCGCAGCAGTCCCCAACCTTTCTTTCTTTAAGTCAGACTCATGATACTGTCTATGAAATGTCGCCTTCTTTTTCTTGGAAGTCATCGGCTGCTCTTCTGTCTCCTGGTTGAGCCTTTTCCCCTTCCCTGAGATGTTTGTTTTTTTACTCATTTTGCTAGCTCCCGGGTTTCATTTTAGCGATAACCTATCATGTGACCTCGAACCCCGCCTTGACCTGCGTCAAGCCTAACAAATTGTAGACGGATGTAACAGAGAGTCCAGTTATTTTTCAAAATAAAACATCTTTCAGATTCCGAAATGAATGAAACGGAAGTCATGTAAGTTATTTTTCTTTCTGTGCGGCCTGTTACCAAATGATCCACACACCGGTACCAGTCCGCGGCCGGGGTTTAGGGACCACTGTTCTAGAGGACTTTTTTTGGAAGGTCAAGAAATTGGAGATTCGGGCAAAGCATTTCCGGGGAGGGAATGTCAAATTTGGTGCTGTCCAATTGGCTCCAAAGCTATTGGCCTTGTTTCAAATCCATCTTGGTGGTGTGTCTTGTCCAAATACTAACCGGACTGGAAATGTATAGGTTGTGTTGTCCAGAGGATTTCAAACTGCCTTTTGCCTCTTCTGTGCTTTCCATTTTGTTTGTTTGTTTTTTTTTTCCTTACTGTTTCTCAGGGCTAAATTCAGTTTAACATCATTACTCGAAGCATTTCAGCAGCGTATCTTTTTGCGGGGAGATGGTTCGGTACGAAATATAACTCGTCTTTCAAACTTGAATTTAGCTCCGAGGACTGACTATTTGCCCTTCCAAAGTTTTGGTGAGCCTCCTTCACTCGAGTGGACTGGCAGCACAAAGTGGCACAGGATGTTTGGTGCGAAACAGCTCCGGATAGACTTAGTTTGGAATTCCACAGGAGCTGCTTGGCGCAGGAGGTGATCGGAATGGTTTTTCAAAACATTCCATACTGTATGTAAGCTAAATATAGTAAAAATATGAGGTTATGTGGATTTTTTTTTTTTTTTTTTGGTGACGATTGAAGACTTTACCTCCCTTCCCTGTTCCTCTCTGACTGGTGAATGAATTTGACCAGGGGTCCCTCTGGCTTGCGGACCAGATGCGGCACCTGCGAGGGCATTTGATTTGATTGTAGTCACAAATCAGATGGAATGTTATGAAAACCCATCATATTTAAGCCGCAAATGCTCATAATGTGTTTCGATGAAAATGGGCTTGTCGTATTCGAAATTTGTCAGTTTACAACCTTTGGATGGGGAAAAAGGTTTCCCAAGGCTGAACTCGACTTTTGTTTCTCCACTCAACAAGGGGTCAAAGTTGTCACTTTTGTTACTTTTGTCCTAGCGTTAAAAAACGTAACTTTTTTTGTTTACTATGTACTGAAATGTCTTAAATCGTAATGTGTTTTTTTTCCAGTTGGCACAAAGCTCAGGAAGTGATGTGTTCAAGGACACTTTGTATTTCCTGTGAAACGTTTGGCTTTTCATATTTCTCACTTCTCCCCCCGCCGACCCCCCAACACCTTTTATTCCTTTTTTTGTTTGAATAATCTGTCTCTGTGTGCCGCTGTATTCAAATTAAACGACACTCAACGAAGACTAACCGCCATCCTCTCTCGCTCGCCGCTCCCTTTTTGTTTCCCTCCACAGTTTCATCTGCACGCCTCCTTTGTTCATTCATTATTTATTGTTTCTTTCATTGCCCTTACATCACCCCCATGCTACAAGAGACATTTTTTCCGAAGATCAACTTCCAGAACATGACAAGCATCCATCTAAACCACCGAAAGGTTTCCATTTCACTAATTTCAATAAAAACACTGATGCAACAAAGGCTCTGTTCATTGATTTGCTCAGTCATGCAACTTTAAAAGTATGAACCATGTAAGATTCGAACAGCACTCGTTTCATTTGCAGGAGTAATTCGCGAAATGGGTTTAGAAGTCAAATCCATCACTTCAAATTATTTGAACTCATGGCAACATGGAGGATGAGTGGTTGGTACATCTGTATCGCATTTCAGAGGTGGTGGGTTCAAATCGGGACTCGGGAGAATGTCGAGATGGATTTTCCACGTCACGGTTGATTGCTTTTGTTTCTGCCAAATTTTACCTCACAATAACAAAAACAGGTGCGGTATGAATACCTTACTAACGGCATGAATAAAATCATCTTTCTAAGGGCAGAATTGTTGAAGCAAATTTTTGTATTGAATGTCAATTAAGTGACAATTAAGTGATGGGGGCACCTTCATAATGGGAGTCAGTTAAATTGCAAATTGTTAAATAATAATAATTATGATGATAATAGCACACACACTGAAATAAAAAAGAATTAAAAAGAGACATGAGACATATTTACCTCTCGTTACAATTATGTTTTATGTTACTATTATAACAATAAATCATTAATTTTTAAATCGTTACAATCTGTTAAAAATGTATTCTATTATTCTTATTTATTTGTCGTCGCAGTAGATTCAGTAGACAAATGCAACACGCTAACTTGACCACCGGGTGGCAGTAAGGTACAATATTGCCATCGATGTGAAAAAGAATGAACAACATTCCAGTCGTTTCGGTGCGCGCGCGCGTCTCAACTGACGCTTTTCCCAAACTGAGCCCAGCTGTGCCTGCGTGCTGACGTCATCACGTCCCCGCTGTGATTATGCAAGTGACGTGGCTGCTGGATGGCTTGCAAAGGGAATGGAATCCAGATCGTGTTGTTGTGATTGTTTTTTTTTTTTTGTTTTTTTTGTTGTTTTTTTTTTTACTGGTATATTTGTTTTGTTGCTCTCCAACGAAACGCTTGATTTTACATTTTACGCCAGAGCAGCACACATTTAATTTGCGTTTTTATACACATTCGAAAACGTGTTAATCATATCTTACGATATAACCACTCACTCTTACATTCTTTACCTTTAAGGACAACTTGGAATCGTTCATTAATTAACATGTTCGTTACGTTTTTGGAAAGTAGTTGCACCGGAGTCAAGAGTAGAGATTCAAACCGCAAACGTTAAGAAGTGCGTGGCAGACGTACGAGACATTCGATCACTGTGCTGAGAAGCTTTAATTTGTTTTTAAAATGCCATCAAAGGCTCTGGCTACTAGTAAACAGCCAGCGGGCCTGAGTTTGCCTGTCCCTGCTTGTAAACAGTAGAAAAAAGGAAATGTTTCCTTTATTTCTGAACACTGAGCAGACATGATGTTCCCTCCAGATGCCCCGATGCCGAAAGCAGCACGATTCTTTCATGTCGCTGGTCGACATCGTCTTGCGTAAGTTTGGAGCAAAATGATTCTTCCAGTCTTTAAAAAATAAATAAATAAAAACGGGAAAACAGCTCGAGACTGGGAAGAGGAGGAGTCATTCTTGAGATGCCAGGAGGATAAATACTTGTTTCCTTAAAGTGGGGGGAATTAAAGAAAGAAAACCGCGAGAAGTTGTTTTTAACTTCTTGAAAAAAAAGAGGCCTGCTGGCAACCATGCTGTTCAAAAAAACTCAAGATGAAAAAAAATCGAAACCAGGTTGCAATGAGGTTTGAGATGAATAGGAGCACTTCCTGTTGGGCTTGACTGAGCCCTTCTTATCTCTGCCCCAAGTGGAGCGCAGTGCCGGCAGGAAATGATCATTACTTGTGGCTGCCAATTCTGAGATGTGCGGGGCGGGGGTGATGAAGGAATAAAAGAAAATGTAGCCCTGAAATAAATATCCAATGCTACAGTGGCTATTAAAAAAAATATCCCCAAAACAAGTTTGACTCTGCAACATTATGCACAGTTTGGATATTTAATTCCGTGAGTCTTTATCATACCACTAGAGGGAGCGCGTGAGCCTGTAGTGCGACTGTAAATTTATTGAAGAAGGAACCAACCATCATGACATCAGTTCATCAGAGCCACTGCAGGAGTTGTTCACGCGCAGGCTTTCAAGACCGAACCCATTTGTAGGCCATCGCTGACCAAAACACCAGCACCTATCGAAGTACAGAAACAGCGACTTACTGTATATTTTGTGTTCCCTGCGCAGTATTAAAGATAATCTCATGCTATGGCGAGACGACAAATGGCTTGACGGCAGTGTTGTGCATGTTCATGTTTATGTTCAGGCCTACGTAAATTCCGGTTGCTCTGCATTTCTCCATATCAGTCCTTCAAATGTTGTTTTAAACTCCACTTTCAGTTGAATGTAACGAACCACGAACAGTTGATTTTTTTTTTTTTTTAATAACCTAAAAAAAAAACTGAAATGAGCATTCACTATCACATGCAGCTGTCAGACAGGGGTTCAATTGCAGGACCGCCCCACCATCCCGAGGCCATATGTCGTGGTCAGGAAGTCAACATGACAACATGACACGCTTGTGCAGCCAACAGGGAAAAAAAAAGCCCATTCGCAGCGAGCACACGCACGCACGCACGCACGCACTCAGACAGCTGGAGGTGAGAGAAGCGATTGTGAATTGTTGACTGTTGCCCACTAGAACACGTGCGAGCGTTGGGTCACGCTTGTGAGTAACATTCAATCAGTCATTCTGTCTTGTGTCACTATTTTAGCGAATGATTTGAGTTCCAACCGGCATAACGTTTGAAAATTCCCATGGCACAAATGGTGCAGTCAAGCATTGCCCATTTTGTGTCGTACGTTGATTGTTCAACGTGTGGTACAACTCCTGACTAGTAGTATGTGGGTGCCCTCATGTGGTATGTGAAAGCATCACAGCCAGTATCTGTTTCTGTGTTTTTAACTTTGAAGAGCAATTTGTTTTTCGTCATTCATTGAGGAAACTTTATTTTAATGTGCAAGACATAAATGATATATAAATGTTATCTAGTTTTGCCCTGTATCGAAATCAACTCAAAACGGCCTAAACAAAGATTTTTAAAGGATGACATTTTTTTTTCTACAACCCTCTTCAACATGTCTTGATTGTATATAAATAATGACACACTGTACACAGCAGTGTTTAGAAATGTGTCCGTGTCGGTTCATGTGGCCCAGCAGATAACTGATAAGCATTGCAAACAGCAGAAGCTCGTGTCTGTTTTTGTTGAGGCCTGTTTAGGTTTGCCTCAATGCGACAGAGCACGCTGAACATGGAGTCGGTTGACGCCGATGACTTCCTATAACTTCCCTATGTTTTGTTTCAATTGTCAAAACTTGGTCAAATAAACAATTAGAAACCAGATGAAATGATAAGTGTATCGTAAGTAACAATGATAAATCATTTAAAATCAATCCTACAATAAAATGATGAACAAGGTTTCAACGCAATGACTA